AAGCCAGGATCAGTTCGTGGAAATGACATATTTTGTATGTACTAGACAGGACCTATCGCCTCATTGCATTTACTTGTGACAAGTTTCCTTTTCTTCATTCAAACTTCAAACCCATTCAAATATATTTCACGCGTCCATAACTGCATTACCAAAATGACTGAAACAAATCTTTAATAAAAAAAAAATAAACACCAAAGACTTGTTCTGCGACTGTCAATTAAACTTCAACGAATTCTTCACAATGAACGTGAATCCTCACCGATAATTACCCCAGTGACGAATGGCAGTGCATTTATCACAATGTTCTCTGTGTATGTCTTATGTATTTTCATCGTCTATTCACTCGGTTAAACGCGAAGGAGACACGCTAAAGGAATACACTCCTAACCAGAGCTAACAAATTAACACTGATGCGTTAAACACTCGGGAAAATGTATATATGCTCCCGCCAACCGGAAGATTGGCCCTTTCAGGGCTGCGGACACCAACGATTTACCGACGTCCGGGTGAACCTCCACGAGGTAAATAAACGTCAACATTCTCATGCACCACTACGATAAATACTGAAATATCGTGGACTGTGCTGAAACGATCTCTCACTTTTATTTTGATCGATGGACTCTTAAAACTAGTGTCTTCAAGACGACTTAATTTAAGAGATTAGACATAAAAATGGGTCTTATCGGCTGACTTCGTGATGACTGAAATTTTCATAATGTCTTGAAATGCAACTCACCAAAAATAAGATATTTTTGTCGACAATTGAGAAAATAGAATGAAGTATATGAAAAACAAATGAGACACCATAAATTTGAAATTAAAAAATCCTGGAGTAAGACACCTAGAATATCTAAAATGCATGTCTTAACGTCTCCTTTTTCTAATATTTTATTGAGACGCTCTACCATTTTTGATAGATGAATGAGGACCGAAGGTGAGGGAAAAAAATTTTCTTATAAATCACGGAATTTCAACACGTAATACGTCCGATTTTTTCGCTCCTCTCCTTTTTTCGCTTTCGGGGAGTGCAAGTACAAAAGAAATTTACTCTCATCCGATGATTTAACCCGTAAGGAGCCATAACGATAACGCCTCCGCATCGGATCCTCCTCTCGCCGTGATTCCCCCCCCCCCCCCCCTCTCTTCCCCTCTGGGTACAACTCGGGCCGACAAAGAAAATATTTTTCGTATGAACGCTCTCTGCGTCTTCTCAAGACCAAAAAATAACACATTTCGGGGCATATCGCAGTACTGATGGATAGATTTGTCTGCTTGTCTTCATATGGCATTAATGCTACGATCGCCAGAACTGGTTTCATTTTTGGGAGTATTTTTGCGATGACAATTAATAACGAATTCTTTGCGTCATTGTGAGAGATGGGTATTGCGGGAAGATGTGAGTGGTGTGTCGTTATGAGCTGGTAATCACCGGGGAGAATTTTATTTCGGCTGTTCTTTTAGGATTGCCCAGCGGGACACTGCAGTAGAATTGATTTATGATTTTTTTCAGACGTTTCTTGATAGTAAATTTGTTGAATGGCGAATGTAGGTTTGAGTCCTACGATAAACAATGTTATTGTCAGATTATAATTCCTTTGAGTTAATCCAAGAGACAATTGGGGCAAAATGGACATTTCCCTTTTTTTTAAATGACTCATTTTGTTTTTGAAGTGCGATAATTTTTTCTTTATGAAAATTATAATTATCTCTATTTATTTTCCTTTTTACTCATTACATTGAATAAAGAAGGCAAATTTTGGAAAAGTTGAAGAGATTACATTTTTATTTCTCAATTATTTTCTTATTCAGAAAATTAAATCTATTTAAACTTTCGGGGCTTGATATTTCTGTCATAGAATTCATTTTTAAAAAGATTCTCAATATAAATAAATTTATTACCAATTTAAAATAATTTCAAGAATCAAAAATTTATTATTTATCAATTACCTGTTTAAAACATTCTATTAATTTCAATCTTCCTTAAAAAGTAGATAGATTTTTTCCAACAACTCAAATTGAAAAATCAAGTTCAAACAATAATAAAAATAATTGCAAAATATCTGCTCACCTAGCCCTGATTTTGGAATATTAAAAAGAATTCCAGGGGAAAAAAATGAGATACTTCTATATTTTTAATGCCCTCACATCTGTCGTTGAAATGTCTCTCGATTCCACCGAAATGTATGTAACTACAATTTCAGCATTTCAATCCGACATTTATTGAATATCTAACGCATGTGCCATCGAATGTTTCTTTCATTACTTGCGTTGAGATATTCCATTGGACACCGGAGAGATTGGATTATGCACACATTGCCGTTATGAAATCAGGATGGCGCAGCACCGGTTCACCGAATTGCCAAATTTGGACATGAGTGAATAAGAAGGATAAACACGTCGTACAATATGCGATGATGAAGTATGAATTCACATGAATTGCAGTGGAATTTACCTCAATTAATAACTCCATTGGAGAGAGGAGGGAGAAATCGGCACGCGATCGTAAATTATTATTATCTTTGGTTTAATTGATTACCATAATCAATTGATTAATTTATGTTAATTTTATGAATGGACAAATTGGTAAAGAAAAAATGAGTTCTTCTGTTTATTTCAATAAAAATGTTCCAATTATTTGAAATAAACAATTTATCCATTGCAAATAAATCCTTCCTCTAGATATTTTTTATTACTAACAAAACCACTGCCCTGAGAGAAAAAATTAGTTCTGCCGAAAAATTGCGTTGCCCTAAAGAGATATTTTGTCGTGTTGAATCAATTCACTTGTGGACAAAAAAAGAGAGTTTCCACCAAAACATGATAATTTTGTAGAAGTAATTGTTCTCGTGAAACATTTATGTGTCTTTATCCAGTAACAATTATAAATTATTGTTTTAAATCCCCAATATTAAAAAATAAAATATAGATATTACTTAAATTTTACATGTAAAAGACCCAAAGGTCATACATGTCTGAATAAAAAATGGAAAAAACTTGAATTTGAAAAAAATCCAAACAAAATGTCACCAAATGTTCCTCACTCTTGGGAATTCAAAGAGAGCCTTGCGTCATCGCATTCACTTTCAACCCTTTACCTGGCACGTGTCGAATGTCCCATCGACATCAAGTACCGTCGATCGATCGACAGGAACAAAAAAATCGCTGAGAAAGAACCTCAGAGTGGATGTGCACTTCCTTTCACCCATTTTTTCTCCCGCATTTGTTCATTCATTTCGTTTTTTTACGGAGATGAAAAATCGTTTGATCTTACCTAACGACTCTCTCCCACAAATCCACAGGGTTAGAAGAGCTTCACGCGCCAAACGGCGCGACACTGTCACTCTCTCCATTCACAACATTGTTGGTATGCAACTGTTAAGCTCCAAAGATTCACTGATAGGTTAGAAAAAATCACAGAAATGGCGGGTAAACTCTAGAAGGTATCAAACACGGGGACTTTATTTTTGACGATCATTTTTTAATTGTACTGACGGGAATTATGAATGTGGATGGGCCTGGGGTGGGCGATCGGCCAAAAGCCACCCTTACGCGATGCCCGCGAGACAGGAACTGACACGCCGCACGGAATTCAAACGGTCGGTGGTGTGCGCGCTAGCACCAACAGCGCGCGATCCCCCCCCCCCCCCCCCCCCCCCCCCCCCCCCCCCCCCCCCCCCCCCCCCCCCCCCCCCCCCCCCCCCCCCCCCC